CGTCTGCATAACGCTTTCCTATCAAGGGTAAAAGCATGTTTCCAAAAAGGAGAAGTGCCATATCAGGTGAATACAGGGAAGTTAATGGTTAAAATATGATTTTTGGTCAAATAATCAGTCACAAGCGTCGATCGATGAGACGGATTCTGAGCAATTTTGGTCGTCAGTCAATTTGTGCGGAACAAACCGTGAACACACATTTCGTAAGCCCAAGTGTTCGGTCAAAGGCGATAGTTTGATGATTTTTCCTGATTTTTGATGAATTTACGCAGAGTTTCGAAGGAATTTCCGGTGATCACGGTTTTGATTGGCCCACATGTTGTCATTTATGTCCTCACGACTACTTGKAAAATCACCGCCATAAACTTGTTTCATCAATTGAAACGTTTCGGTAAAAGTTTTACCAATTTTWAAACAAAATTTAATGTTGGCTCTTTGTTCGAAGCTCATTTTTGCACCTATAACACACACTTACTGACACTTAAAACGCAAAAGCTTCACTTCCAATCCTGAAATTCCCTCTGGACAATCGATAAAGATAGCTGACGCACTAGTCGATATATAGATGGCGTCATCAGGGGCACTAGATTYAAAAAATCCTGTTTACTTTGGAACGATCCTTGTAGATGAATACATATATATACGTGTATTAGTATATTCTACACTATTTAAAAATATTGCAATAAAATTTTTACTATGCGCCCCCATCATAGCAACGATTACCATTTTCAGAATATTTTGCCTTCGCAGCTACCCGCGAAATTTGCAACCCATCTCATCAATTCAGCGCCGGCAATAAGAGCTCAGTTGATGAGGATTTGCCCAACTCAGATACATACACTATGTTTATTGTTAATTTTCGAATTTTAGATATGTATGCWAGCACCCATTTATATAATGCATCCATATTAATATTCACATTTCGCATAATCAATGCGCATAGTACAGCAACGTTCAAATGACGTCGTTTGAAGTCAGCATCATCGAATCTGTCTTGCACTTTAAGGTATAACTATTTAATATACCAGCAGATCCATTTCATTATAATATCGAATAAGACCCATTTTGTAAAGCAAAATTATAAATATTATTAAAACTACTTTCAATATATATTTCTAATATTCTTTATAATAGTTTTAGAACACAATATACATACATGTTGTTCTACATTCACGACAGAAATTTATATATTTATCAAATAGAAATATAAAAAAAAAACTCTATTTGAATACTTTTTTATGTCCATACTATTTCTAATTCCACTCTGGAAAGTTACTAATATGGTAGGGATCTCATTTTTTGTATTCACCAATGCCCCACGGATAAACTTCGACTGCACCGAAGCTAATATACCCTTCACAGGTGCATTTCTTTTGGTAACTATGTGTTCAGTTTGTATATATGCTATAGTAATCCAAAATGGACAATTATTTAGAATATTATATTATTACCTTAAGCAGGTATCCATGTCAAATTTTGTGAAAATACCACGTCAAATGCGAAAGTTTTCCATTCAAACCCTTGACTCTGTTCGATTTGTATGACAGCTGTATGCAATAATGAGCCGATCTGAACAATTTCTTCGGATTTTACATTGTTGCCTTATTAAATAATCTAAATTTCGTGAATATATCTTTCCAAATGCAAAAGTTTTTCATTCAGCACCTGATTCCGATCGCTCAGTTTGTATGGCAGCTATATGCTATAGTAAGCCGATCTGAACAATTTCTTCGTATATTATATAATTGCCTTAGAAAATAACGTGTGCCAATTTTTGTGAAGATACATTGTCAAATGTGAAAGTTATCCATACAGAACTTGATCCCGATCGCTCAGTTTGTATGGCAGCTATATGTTACAATGGTCCGATATCAGCCGTGCCGACAAATGAGCAGCGTCTTGAAGAGAAAATGACGTTTGAAAAATTTCAAAACGGTATCTTAAAAAGTGAGGGACTAGTTCGTATATATACAGACAGACAGACGGACGAATGGACAGACAGACAGATGGACATGGCTAACCGACTCAGCTCAATATACTGATCATTTATATATATACCTTATTGGRTCTCCGACACTTCCTTCTGGGTGTTGCGATCTTCGTGAAAAAATTATACCTGTTCAGGGTATAAAAAACTGCTCTTAGATTTGTATAATATTGTTTATGTTTCTGTTAAGTTTGATCCCCATAYGCCAATTTGTGTGTGTTTAAAAATGTTGCAGTCTACTTTATCACGATCATAAGTATTTATTTGAGTGGCACAAAGCATAAAGGGAAGGTCGCGAAGTCATCGAGAAGTTGCCTCATCCACGGTGACGATATCAAAAATTAACAAAACAGTAGTTTCCAATCATCTGATCTGTYGAAATTAGAACAGCTGGTACATATACTATTTCTATATTTTAACTCCGTTTTTCAGCATATTTTACATATAACACTCCACCACATATTCTCTTTAATAGTTTGTTCTGAGAACTAAATAACACATATGTATTATGTGTATTCTATGAAAAGAATGGGAAAATACAAAAACTACTCAATGAGAGCAAAAACTGCAAAAACTTATTTATATTTCTATTTCAAAATATTTAAAATAGACCTACATTTATATACATACATGAATAAAACACTTCGAAAAAATATTCTTATTTTTTCATGATTCAACAAATACACCTTTGTTCGAAGTTCACTTCTATTAATCGGAGAGATAATGGTAAGGAAAGGAGTACGTCAACATAAAATAAGTAAGGCGAAAAATTAATCGAAGGCAAACAATATTCCGCTGTACGAATTTCCGCTAAAGTGAATCTTTTTTATGAGTCATAAAAGTTAGCAACCGTGTCATTGCAAARGGACTATCATACGAACCTTTTCAAGAAAATTTTCAAATACAAAGCATCTATTGACACAATCTTATGATGTTCAAAACACACCGATATACATAATTGACTACTTAAGTTTGAAATGCACATAGAAGTAAAGTGAACTAAGAAGGTTGAATTAATAAAACAAAGGCAAATACTGCATATTAGAAACGAATTTCAAGACGAATACAGCTTCAGAAAGTGAATCCCTTCTGTATGAGATAGTAGAAGAATTGAATAAGCAAGATGATGTAATAAAAGATACAAAGCAGTAACTAAAAAGGTTTAATTTTAAAAGTGCAAACAGAATACTTACCCTGAAAAAGTATGAACGTAGAGAAATATTTCCAAAAACCACCTTTTGTTCTTCCCCAGCGTTTTTGCTAGTATAACGTTGTCCTTATATAAATACCCTAAAATACGTAAAGCGAAAGAACTAATTCAGCCATATTTATAATTTTATGTAAATAGCACTGCTCTTTTTCAAAATATTGCGAATTCAGGTACTTCTACAATATTATTAAATATAATAATAAATAACGTGATTTTCAATAGGGAGCTACAAAAGTAGTACAATAGGGACAGAAAATTACGCCATAGCTTTTCCTGCTCTTTTGACATTTCTCTTTAGTAAGGTTTGCCATTCATCATATAAAGTTATACGATCCAACAATGAGTTGAAATTATTAAAACTTATTACCGACATTCGGAGTCAGTGGCCTCAACATTGAGAGCGCTATGTCCAATTTATGGCCGTCATAATCGTCTCGTTAGATCAGCAATTGAGCGCCTAGTTGGAAGATTTTAATCCACAGACACAGTAAAAAATATTTCCGTGYCATTGAGTCAATGAAGTGCCCCAAATCAGTCTCTGACACCTCGTTCTCAAACGTTGGGTGGCTACGTCGTTGTGGGGAGTTTTGCTCAAAGAGCTTAGCTTACATCCTTACAAGATAAAATTGACATAAGGACTGAAGGATGATGGTCGTGAATTTGGCTGAGCAACGACTTGAAAATGATGCGGCTTTTCATCGAAAAATACTCTTCAACGATTTGGCTCATTTCAGACTGAATAGCTTCGTCAATAAGCAAAATATGTATTATTGGTCACGCATCAATCCACACGTACTCCATGAGTCACCATTGCATCCCGAAAAAACTTCGGTTTGGTGCCGCTTATGGGCCGGCGGCATCATTGTGCCGTACTTCTTCCGTGATGGTTACGACCGACACGTTACTGCGAATGGAAACCGCTACCGCTCAATGATCACCGAATATTTTTGGCCCGAATTGGATGATATGGACTTGGACAATATGTGGTTCGAACAGGTCGGCGCCACAAGCCACATAGCGAATGTCACAATCGATTTATTAAAACCAATGTGTGCCATGCAAAAAAAAAAAAAAACCCGAGTTCCATATATAGTGGCATCGAATGTACTTTCACTGTAATAAGAATGTGATTAATATCCCAAATAAAAAAATTAAATATCCAAAAAAAAAAAAAATGGATTCGTGTATATAAGAAGCATAATTGGATCGGTTCAATTCACAATGTTCTAAAGATGTGAACGCAATTGTATACGCTGTGCTGTATATTGTCAGCTACTCACATATGAAGCAGTGCAAATATCCTAATTTAAAGAAGTTAATTTTATACCTGTTAAATAAATATGCAATGATATGATTTGAAATATGYGCATACCATATCTTAAGACGTTTTAAAACCCTGTTACTGATATTGCTGACATTTTAAAATATTTACGGATTAAGTTGTTGAGAGTTGGAATAAATGGCGTAATTGAGCGCGTACTCTTACCATTCCTTTTCTCCAATAGTACTTGAATGTAAAAAAGTACATTTCGCTGCACAGGGGGTTTGTGTTTATATAATGTGAACAGCGAATATGCTTCGGTACTTGATTCCCATTTTACAGCTTTCTCATAAAAGCTGATTGAAAATGCTTATTAGATGCAAGATTAGATAGGATATCAACATGGGTTGCAAAGAGTAAAGGAGTAAAAACAAATAACTTGGAAAATTGTTGATTTCGTCACGACAGGGCAAGCTACGGAAAATAACCAACTGTTTATCTTGACTCAACTGATGTCGCATTTTGTATTTTGTGGTAATATCTTCATCAGTTATATAAATAAATTGAAACAAATACAAAATTTTGTATAGTGTTTGATTAAATTCTTTCTCTAATTGCTAGTGAAATCTATTGTAATATAATTTATTAAATAAGTAAAAGTATAAACAGAAGCAGCTATAAACAAAATCCTTAGTTTAAAATCTGTCTGAATTTACCAGCCCTTTTTCTATTCAACAATTTTTAATTATTTAAGTAGTTACGAAATGAAAGGTGGAGCCGCTCAAAGCAAAATCTATTTAATCTGTCTTTCTGGACAAATTATAAAACTTTTGCTGATACATATATTTAGC